AGAAAAAATAGTGATCAGCAAGGTCCTATCCAGGAATCCATGAGAAAAACTTAAAGTAAAATCACAGGGGGCCCACACAATGTGTTTAAGTAGCTGATTGTTATTATATAGTAAATGTACTGGATTTACCGTTTGCTTCACCTATAGCGATATATATATGTATATAAATCAATGATAAATAAACGTTGAATTACCTTGCCTGTGGTCTATAGTCGTCCTTTTGCCTCAAAAGCGGTTTTTTGAGCGATTTTGAATGAATTTAAGTTCGCCATTGACTGTTCCATAATAGAAGGACAAGGGAGGAATCCTTGTTTTGAAAGGGTTCCAGCACCGGAGCGATTTTTCCCCCCAAAATCGCATCGCTCCGCTTTCAAACTTCGCAGCATAAAGGTCAAGAGATTCACGATTCTTCTCGTACCTTCCAATCGAAAATCCATCCAAACGGCCCATAGCTAGCCCTCGAAGAAAATCAAAATCCCACAGTATTCGAGCGACTGGAATGCGTAGCAAGATTCATACGTGCCAGCCACAAACCGTCCCACTGATTGCCTTTTTTTTTATTGGATGTCGTTAAACAAATGGTTAAATTTAACTGATGCAGAAGACTTGGTAAGCGTTTGTTGTTTAACGACATCCAATCAAAACAGGAAATCAGCGGGACGGTAAAATCACTCCGGTGCTGGAACCCTTTCAAAACAAGGATTCCTCCCTTGTCCTTCTATTATGGAACAGTCAATGGCGAACTTAAATTCATTCAAATTCATTCATTCTGGGAGAAAGACCCCACTCAACCCCCCCACCCCTACGAGGCTCGTGCACGGCTTCGGCACTGGCAATAATGTCCTGCCCATACAAAAAACCTAGCTACAGCCCTGAGTTTTTAACAGAGAACATAACACATGCCCATTTTTCATAACTGATTCTTTTCTTTTTAGAGCTGTTACCTCTGCAAAGAAGACTGTTGAGTGTGGGTACTGATGACCTGTACTTGCACAGGAATCCCAATAAAGGCCCACAACCACTGCAAACAGTCATCATGTTGATTGCAGGAGTTGTGCTCCTTGTTATAGCTGGAAGCCTGTGCTCTGTTTGTAACAAAGACCGGGATAACCTATCCGAGTGAGTACCGTTGCTTCACTACCTGGACGTATAAAACATAACAGTAAAATCCGATGTTTGTCTATGGCACTTGTGACTAGTACTTATTTTTACCACCACTGTCCATACGTTTTAAAAATGTCAAGTGATCTTCTTTTTCTTTTCACTGGTACCTTATTTCTTGGAATTGTTTTCTTATTGACTATAGATCAGGGAAAAGAGCTCAAATATTATCATATCATGAACGCTTGCCAAGTCAGTATGAGGTAGGTATTGGAGAATGTGTAACATACAAATGAAAAGTAGGATAAACTAATGAAAAAAATAAAGTGAGTGAAAAGTAGAGTAGCAACTTTTGCTTATCAAAAGAGATTCATCTTGTGGGAAAACAAAATGTGTTAAATGGATTGGTTGAAAATGAGGTTGTTCAGTTTTTTGTCAGTCTTCGTATCTCTTGGTAGACCCCATCACTCAAGGAGGACAAAGGGTAATGACGGTGACATGGTACGTCATTCTTCCTTCCAAATTCGTGGAGAAAATCTAATCTTTCTTAAAAGAGCAATTTGTTTCTGAATTTATGGCTTGCACAGTCTAACACCAAAATTTACCAACAAATATAGCTTACGTTAGGGCCTAAAAAGTTGTTGGGGTGGGTAAAAATTGCTTTCCTACCCATCCTTCTGTACATCGTCGACGCCGAGGCGAGCCACAGTGAATAAACGTTTTAAGACGTTGGTTAAGGTGGAGGTTTTCTTACAGCAAATTTAGTCTTTGGAATAACAGTTTGATTTCTCGCGTGCTGATTGGCCGAGAACTATGGTCAATAAGTCTACAGACCATGGAAATAACGTGATGGTAGCGCAATTAGATTTTCTCCTTCAAGGGCGTGCGACTTTCCAATAAATTCAACGTAAGTGGACGCCAAAAACTATCAATGTTATTTAAAAACAACAACAACAAAAAGACAAAAATTTTAAGGACTGTACCCTTATCGACCATAGAAACGGCGTCAGAATGTTGAAAACTCAAGTGGAAACGCGAGCCGTAGGCGGGTGGTTTCGCTGTAAAGTTTTGAACATTTTGACCGCGTCATTTCTATGGTCGATAACAGAATAGACCATGTAAAATTGCTGTTTATTTGTTAACTCTAATGATTTCTTATGGCTTAGTATCGTGGACTTAAAGTACTGTGTGGCGAATTTTACGATTTTACTTAATGTTTAAAAAGAAAGGTGCTCGTGATACAGTCTAACATGACGGTTTTTATGGTTGTTTCTCTTTTCTTTTGTAGTCAATGCCACGAGAGCAAAAAGTTCAACAAGAAACAGTCTTGGAGACAAATGATGACGTAGTTGTTGAAAGGGCAGAAAGAATTGAATCTCTTAACGTAGAAAACCACGTTGCGCTGTATGACGAGCTGACAGTAAGCGTTCAGCACGTAGCACCGCAAAGCGTGGAAGATGAGACGTTCGAGGGGGTGAACCATGTACCAGACAACGAGCACCAAGAGCAAAGAAGTGAACACAACGTTCAAAGTAGCGAAAAACACGTTCAAAGTAGCGAAAAGCACTTGTCAAGTAGTGAACAGAACGTGCAAAGTAGTGCACAGCACGTGTCAAGTAGTGAACAACACGCGCAAGGTAGCGTGCAGCACGTGCCAGGTGGTGCGCTAGGGATACCGCCTAGTGTGCAAAGTAGTGTGCAACACGTGTCGTCGACGGCTGTGAATCACATGACCGAAGATGAAAAGAAAAAGCGAAGTAGCAAACACGAACATGATCAAGAAGAGCATAAAGGCAGATTTTGGAAACGCACCCGCTCATCCAAAAAAAGTGCAGCCAGCACTGATACCAAGAGGACTTCAGATACAGTTTTAAGAGCAGAAGAAGAACAAAAACATCACGATAGACGATCAAAAAAAGGTTCTAAAGAACATAAAGGCAAAGCAGGGAAACCGAACGAAAGAAAAAGTTCCTCAGAAAGCGAAGAAAGAAAACCTTCAGATGAACACCGAACGGAGAGACCACGAGAGAAGACACCAACACTGGATCGGCACTCACGAGGTCTTCCGACACCACCACTACCACCTGCCCCACCGGGCTCACATGGGCATACCCTTCCAGACCGACCCCTCCCCGAAAGGCAGAGTTCTGCCCCGGATGGTACTGGGTTGGAAGAAGATAACAACTATGAAATAGTAGAAAAACGAAAAACGAGATCCGTGGAGAATATCGACCTTGCAACCGATGAAAAGTACGATGCTGTTCGGATTGAAGTCGAAAAGCCCCGCACTGTTCGTTCCGCTGTCGAATCGATCAACGTGGAGCGCCCCGACAGTTGGAGGGGTAGTGACATTTACGAAATCGTCGAGGAAACAAGCCAGGCTGAAGATCTGTACGACGAAGTTGAAAACAATAAGAAAGAGAACAGCGAGAAGGACGAAGACGAGGATCCTGAGGATCCTTATTCGCGAATTAAAAAGCTGAAAGAAATGGAAGTTTTGGAGAACTTAGAACTCTACGAGGAAGTCGATACAAAGCCGGAAATTGAAGTGACAAGCCCCGATCAAGTAGTAGTAAACATTGATAAGGAATCGATTCGTAATCGCTGTAAGAGCGATACAGCTGGCCTTCAGAAACCTAGTAACGAGTTTATCAGACGGTGTCACACAATCGACGTGGTGCGGGAGAGACAAGGCGTGGATGCATCCTCAGAAGGCAAGGTTTCAAATGCGTTAGTGGATTATCTTTACGCTAAGGTGGATCTCAGTAAGAAAAAGAAGAGACTTGCAGAGAGTCACACTGGAGAGGAATGGAGCGATGACAACCCCCCTCCCCTCCCCCCAGTTTATATTTCATCTAAGCAAATTCAGATCGAGATGGGAACAGTTGAAGGTAAGTGAGTAAATAAACGACCTGATTTGATTCTTTCATGACTTGTTATACTGTTACTACATGTGTAATCAGTGATGGATCTATACCTTCAGATAAGGGGGGAGGGGGGGGGGGAATTCATCCAGACCCTGAGTCCTGAGATAAGGGGGGGGCTGGGCGGTCTCAAAAAAATTTGGTCAAAAAAAAAAGATTGGGGGGGTGGCGAGACCCAGGCCCTACCTCAGGATCCGCCACTGCTATATCGTTACTCTGGGTTCGTTGTCAAGTTCGACGTTCCAGGCTCTGTGGGCCTCGATCGGTCCTCGCCACTGAGTTTTTTTTCCCTTTGGCTTTCCGTCGACTTCAATGGAACTCAACACGCGGGCAAGAAAACACAAATGAAAAAAAAATTGAATCGTCCTTTTGTTTTCAAGTGCTCTATAAAGGTGAAATTAGGACGATTCGCTTTGTACTCGTGGAGTGCTGGCAAAGAAATATTTTTTTCACGTGCACGTTATGCACGTGCAGTGTTGCTGTTTTGCTGATCTAAGGTTACGTCCACTCTAATCAGGATATTTTTGAAACCGTACATTTTTTTTCACTCGAATGGGTCTGTTCGTCTTCCCGAAACCAGTGAATTTGCTCACGGAAACCCCATTTTTTGAAACCGCTTTCCAGATAAGTTAAAGGCTCCGTTCATACGAATGTGGCAAAAAAATAAATGTCGGAATCGCTTGCATGGGACTTAAACCTATTGTTTTTTTTTTCTGTTCGTCGCCATTGCTTAAGCTTCCTATTATTCCAGTCTCATTTCTGGCAACCGTATTCCACAAATAAAATCAATGTAGCTCTTCTTTACTCGTATAACCGTCTACTTCTAATGCGAGCACACACAATGAAACTCATACCTCTATGGTCGTCAACAGGTGCTGAAGACAGCCTGTACGATGAAGTTGCGCCGAGTTCAAGTGATAATACGCCTCTTTTGAATAACGACTTATCTGTACCTGATACTAGTGCAGATGAGGACAAAAGATTATCGGCCGCTTCCGGCTACTACGAACTTGTTGAAGTCAAACACGAGGTTCCTACGGTTGATGGTAATTATACAGGGATTGTGGATGAGGGGCCTAGGCCCAAATCGAACAGTAGTGGTCGAGCGGAACCTGTGCACGTGGACAGCAGCAGCACGCTTGCGTGCGCTTCATCTGCGGTAATCGATTGTAATGGAACGGTGGAAGGAGAAGACGAAGACGGCGCACCACATTACGAGATAGTAACGCCGCGAAGGACAGAGAAAAAAGTGTCCAAAACAACGCACGTAGCATGGATTTGATGTAGTATTGGAGTGCTGCTGAAAACTCTACAAAGATTAGAATTCATGTTGTCAGGAGTTTGTGATCTGGAGCGCTCGCCGTATCACAGACTTTCAATTTATAAAACTTTTACACTTCTTTACTCTTACCAGCTGCTGCTAGAAGTCCTACTCTGCTCTTATTGGCTGGGAGTTTTTTTTGGCGCGAGAAATGAATCTATTAATAGTCTGAAAGCATGACACTCTGCAGTGACCACGACTTTACAAGAGAGATAGAGGTTCCAGGGTGAAAAACTGTTCTTGTTGATCTGAACCACGTAATACAGACTCATTTGGGTACTGCTGTTAATATCTGACTAGTCAGAAATAGTCCAGTCCATTATATTACCAAAACGCGCAGTACGTGCCGAGTGTGCTCTTTTGTGAAAAAATAGAGACCTAAGTGTGCACCGTTTCCGTGTACGGGAACGGGCAAGTTACCCGTACTCTTAGCCGTAAATACGGGTAGACTGCCTCTTACCCCGGAGAAACGGCTAGGTTACGGGGCAGAACGGTGATGCCATTATCACATCTGGGAAGTCATCATGGTCGCCTTTTGTATAAACTGCGTGGCAAACATGTTCGCCTACCTGACCCGTAGGCAGAAACGGTGTATCTTAAGGTCCCTAATGCATGCGTACGGTTTGGCGCAAATAGTGGGGTATTCCGTTAAGGGGGATCACGTTGGCCTCGATTTTTAAGCGCTCTCTAAATCGCTTACGAAGTCTGCTCTTCTTTAATTTACATAATTCAGTAATGCACTCAGCGATGTTTTCTTTTTCCTTAATCAACGTCCGTATTGTCTTTTACATTTTTCGAAAGTAACAAGGCTGGAATTTATATATATGAAATGAATGTTAAAAAGGGAAAGTAAAATTATTGTTAGAGGCTCTAGAAGCGCTTTTCCAGATGACGGTGATAACGATTCCTAAACGTCTTTTGGGCTCGTGACAAAAATCACATCACAACACTCGTCACGGAAGATTACGTGATATCTCTAAATGCGCCTTTAAAAGTGGCGTACAAATTAATGCATTATTCGCGAAACTGAGGGTGTTCTTTTTTGTATGAAGAATTTCTATTTATATAAAATATACTGCAAATATTACTCAAATTTATAAAACTCATTAAGTAACCTTAAGGTGTAGCGAGATGTAAAGAAGGTTTTTTTTATATACTCTGGATCATAATAAGCTTGTGCCTGCGATGGTTGGCGCATTTAGCAGAGAAAACGCAACGTCAATTGAGAACGCAAAAGCGCGCGAAAAGGATTGAACGCGACTTGTAGTGCTCAATTTGCCGCTGCGCCATTGGTCAGTTGGGTTTTTAGATCAGTTGTATGGTCAGTTGAATTTTAGATCTACCTCTCTCGCCTCGTTGACTTTGCTAAACCCGAAAATTTGCAACGTTATCTGCTTAAAGGACATGGGAGAGGTCCACACCCAGGCTTGCTAGAAGCTAAAATCAGAATTTGACTAGCAATGAAATTTCAGTTACCGACTCATTTTTCTTTGAATAAAGAGAATGAAGTTCTTCTTTCTTGAATTAATAGGTAGCTGATAATTCTTGCAGGGTTTACGGTTTTCGAGTAATCATTGGCGTGGCACAAAAAAAAATCGAAAATAAAGTTTTCGCGCGAAGCGTTGGGTATTGACTTGTTTCCAGTCGACTCCGGTCGAAAAACTAGAGGACCGCCTGGAGACAAGTTTAATACAAGGTGTTCTTTCCCTTGACCGTTGGTTACCAACGCTGTGAAGCCGCTGGTGGATTTCTAAACAGTCGGTTAAGGTTACGAATCTATTAAGTTGTGAGGGTTTTCCAGTGCTTCTTTTCTTCCAACGTTGTTAGCCCAGGTAGACAGATCTTTGTCGTATTTCTTCATTGTAATACGCGCAGCATTCTTGAGTCGTTGTACGAAAACCTAGCTTCTGAATATTGAAAGTATACAGCACAGTAAATTTCAATCTGATATACCATTCGTTCAATGTGGTATTAAATGTCGGCTCTAACACTCTTACCACCCGAGCCTAAATTTGCATTTTGTGGTGGCTTCAGGGTTCCTACAGAGTCTTGAATTCTTGAAAAAATCTTGAAATTTGCCCAACAATTTTCAAGACCTAGAGAAAGTCTGGAGAATAGAGATAAAGTCTGGAAAAAATGGCAAAAAGCCTTGAGTTTTTTTTTTTCAAAGCTATAGTAAGTGCTTAAGTGTTATTTTTTTCGTCTTGGTCAAACCATATGTTTGCAGCACACTACGAAAAAAGCTTTGTTCCTACGTTTTTTAAGGTGTCTATTGATCACCTATTTCATAACCGTGAGTATGCTGGAAAAAGTCTTGAATTTTGGATCCAAAGATCTGTACGAACCCTGCGGCTTTTAATCCTCAAGAATTGCTGCAAGGAACAGATCTGTGGGCCTGACTACTATGTTTGTTAAGCGTTTACTTTTCAATTCAGTCCTTATTTATTCTTAATAATGCCTTTTTTACACAAATTTGAAATGCTTAAGGAGCAGAAGGATCTAATCAGATAGAGCCCTCAAAGATATGCCATCAAACAAGTGCGACAGAGCACGAAAAAGCCGCATAAAACCTTACCCTTAGCGATAGTTGTTGTTGTTGTTAATAGATCCGGGAACTTTATGGATATCATTTTGTGTTATACACTAAATGATGTGTGAGAACTGAATGTATTATTTTTATATAAGAAAAATAAGAAATTTATATTAGATTTATTATTTAACATATACGCGCACTTTCCTCCCGCTACATTCCATTTCCTGTGAGGTTAGAGTTCGTTAGATGAACAGTTTTCTTGTTACTTGTACATATTCTGAGTGTAAATGGTAAACAAAGTAAGTTTAAGTTGTTTTATTTTTTCAACTATGATGTGAAGTATTGTTGGGTTATATCTTATTGCTTTCACAGCAGAATTTATTGAAAATGTCTGCAATAAAATTTGGAAAAAAGTTTGGAAAAGAACATGACGCGGTGCACTCACTAACAAATGACAGACACAATGGCAAAGATGTTTTTATAACAATTGTGTGTTTTTACATGACGTCATGGCGGCCATATTTGTGTCCCAAAACAATGAAACGGCGGCCATGTTTGTGTTCCAAACCAATCCTGTGGGAGTTGAACTCTTTTCTTATGTAAACGCTTTCTTTTGTTCCAATAAATTTGCATAGATGCTGGCCACGTGAGTGAAAACACAAAATAGGTGCGGTCTTACCCATCAGTGGGCAAATGGCTGTTGCCCACATGGAGGTAACTTTTTGTGTGTGACTCATTTCCCCAAGGTGGATTGCCTCGGGAAAATTTCCATGATACGTCAAAAAGAACCAAAGACGTAATTTCAACCTTTTCAAGTTGCGTCATCGTGTCTCAAACACATTGCGAAAAGAACTAATGTGGCAAGAATCTTGGGCGGATCCGAGAAAACTCCCAGAATGAAAGGGACGGGATCTTAGACTTGTCAGCTCTATAGAAGTCCAGTTCTGGCCTCTCTCTCTCTCCTTCTCCCTCCCTCTGTCACGCAGAGAGAGCGTCTAGAACTGAATTAACTCTATAGATACTATTTTAAGATTAAAGTTCTCGGTAAAATAACTCTGAGAGCATCTCTAGAATACAGGTTTTACTGAGATCTGTTTTTTAAAAAATGTTAACACAATTTCAGACAAAAGAGAAGGTTGCCCCCCATGAGGGCCCAATGAGAATCTCCGATCTCGTCCCCAGGGCTCTCCCATTTTCTAATCATGGTACTATAGTTCGAAGCACGTAAAATGGAAAAAGACACACACACCCGGAAGAGGCTTTATTGTAATCTAGGCGGGTATGTTTTTGCCATTGGTCCTGACTGCTGTAAAGAGCGTTATTTCTGTCAAATGAGCTCAAGAAGAAGGCAGAACCGGATGAATATCCTGATGGCAGAAGATTCATCAGGGCCTGAGAAAAGTTTAAAGTCAAAATCTAAAGAATGGAAAATATGTGGATCAAAGGTACCTTACAACCTGCCGAGATTGGTTAAGTTTGCATCACTTTCAAGACTATGTAAAACCCCTACTGCTTTGAATCTGAGCACAGCAACTCGCATAAACCGGCTTTCTGGACTCGGCAGGATCTCATGACTAGGAGCAGTAGTCATATGCTCCTGGACTCGTAAGTTACTGGGACGTTCGAGATACGGCCCCGGAAATTTTATTTTAGCATACGTGGACTTTAGGCCTGGGGCCAAATGAGTTTGACCGTCTGTGATATACAGTAGAACCAAAGCAGAACCTCGGTAACTTGAACTCTGAAAGGAAACGATAAACAAGCAGCTAGTTCGAGTTAGCGAGGGCTCGAGTTAACGGGGTCGATTGAAAAATTCAATTTGCCACTTTTAAAATGGGTATTTTCTGATTTTTCAGCACTTCAGGGTATTGTGCAGTGCAAATTTTACCTATTTGATCAGAAACGTAACATGATTAGCATATTTTTTACGATAAACGTGCATCTGTTCATTATGCCAGTTTAAAATCAAATTGATGTAGTGTTGACTATTGTTGGTTTTAGCGGTTCTACAGATTCAGTACAAAAACAAGAGCTAATGGGATGGCATCCGAGTGGAGTTACAAGAACCAGAATTCGAGTTATGGGGTAAATTTCAGGGCCGGAATTTTTGATCGAGTTATTCGAGTTCGAGTTAAAGAAGTTCTACCGTTTTAAAGAATTCTCTATAAGGCTGGCAAGTCTTTAGGCCACCCCTTTCTGAATTTTCTAGTCCGTTCCCTGGGAGGCAAGACTGTAATGGCACATTTTGAGATTTTCTTAGCTAGTCTAAGTATCTCACATTCTAATCTGTCGAACATAGTATAAGAAAAAAGGGGCCGTATGTACATACGAACAAAACTATAGAAAAATATATGAGAAAAAAAAATAAGACAAAGTGACGTTTTATAAGCTCCTTACCCATGAGAGGGCTTAATTTGAATCAGCCTTTTTGAAATAATTTATATTAATTTAATTAAAACTAGCTTTTTTCTATCGTTCACAGCATAGTTTCTATGGGACCCGCATTTCGTACATTTGGTCTGATTAAAACACGATTTAATCATCTACCTTTCTAGTCACTAAGAGACAAACTAGAAATCTTTTAAAATTTAGTATTATCTCAATCAGACCAACAATTCCTCTCCACTGTGAATGTCTTTGATTATTTATGATTTTAATCTATTTTCTAGTTCTAGTTTGAGTCCTATTGAAAATATATTATTTAGTTAATTGAGGATTTAAAAGCCATGGGCACTTGGGCTGAACACAGATTATAGAGCAATACAAATCAGGCACATCTCGATCACAGTTTTGATCTCCACTTTGATCTAATGTGCACGTCACTTTGTAATTTCCATTTCTGTCAGCTATCGTAAATTCATATTCCCAATCGTTAGGGTTGCAATCGTTAGGGAGGGAGAGTTTAGACGAGGAACACAGCTGCAATTCCGACTGACGTCTTGTTCTCCCCTGCTGAAGATAAATTATAGCAAAAAATTCATTTTTTTCGGGAATGCTTAAAAGGTCGTACAAAGAGGTGTGGTAAGGGAGGAGGGGGTAGGGTTGGTGGATGCCAAACAAATACTCACGTATTTTTCTCCAATTGTTTTCAAAATGATTTGAGTAGTGTAGTTTTAGTCTTTAGACAAATTTTTGCAGAATGAAGGTGATACTTATTTTCCAGATAAAAGAGTAAATATAAATGAAATCCATATAAGTATTCAAACTGCTGACTAAAGATTGAAGATAAAATACTTTTCTTACCAGCTCCATAATCTCCTTTTCCCGCCAATAAAAAAAAGGATTCGAAAAAAATAAAACAGTGTTTTAAGCTTTTCCAATTTTCTCGGGCAATGCTAAAATAAATTGCCAGTACTGATTAATCTTGTAGATTTAATATTGCCCTGATTTTTTAACATCCCCTTTTGGCCAGCGATACAACAATAAACTCGTTTGTTTTTAATTGTTGTTGTTTCTTGGAACAACTTTTGAGCGCTGAAAGGCTTCGCCTTTAGCCTTAGGTGCTTTCATAAAACTGTTACTGAAAAGGCTCACATTTATGATGTTGTGAAAAGAAGGGGAAAGAACAGCCTGAATGTCATCATTCGTAAAAAAAAAATAATTTCAGTTGATCGAGCCATCTTTTCAAGACGCGGGCTAAGGAAAATCGACCATTTTTAATAAGTCTAGTCTGACATACTAAGGCAACCATATGTCGTCATGCATTACTAACCAAAGCGAAAACAAATCATTAAGAAGTTCTTACAGGAGCTTTGTCACGATAGTTTTGTATTCCTTTAATACGGTAAAAATATAATGGAAAAAAAGATAATAATCACCCAGTCTACTACTTTTCTTAAACTTTAAGTGCGTGTGTCTTTAATTTCGTAGTGATAAGAATGGAAATTCAGGGATGGCATTGATAACCAATCATCCCGTCCCTTGAATCAATTGAATACATTGAAGACGGACTTCGCGCTGATCGAGCTAAAATCAGGACGCACAATACCAAGAGAAACAATAACTTCATGATCTTCCAAAAATCAAGGTTGAAACTAATAAACAATTTGTGTGAGAATCGCCTTATAAACTAAACCCAGTAATTACTTTGGATCGAAATTGACCAATTACGAAACAACGCGTTTTCCTGAGAGGTCCGCAGGAAAAAGGAGCCATTTAAAAGACGTTTACCTCTGCTAGGTTAGAAGCGAAAAAATATTTTACAATTGTAACGGCTAATGCTTCATTCTGTCTATTTATCTGCGCGTTTGTCTTTGCCAGCTAATATAACTCTGGTCACTTTCGAATTAACGATTTTTTTGCTATTTTTCACTCCGTTACTTTTGTTAAATTATTTTTTGTTTAATTTATTTTTATTCTTGCAAAAAAGTGGGGGGGCTAAAGCCCCCCCGGCCCCTCCCTCTGCGCGGTCCCTGCATAATCAATCCAGCAGTGAAAATGTGACCCCATCCAGCAGCACATCTCCATTAGCCCATTACTAGGAAGTATCCCCTCCGAGGAGGGGGTCACGCAACTCATCACTAAAATGCTCCTGGAATTGGTTCGTCCTTTTACTTATTGGTGAGGGGGGAGGGATTTTTTTTTAAGTCGAATAATTTGTTACAATCTGATATTTTGGAGC